ACGATCCAAACTCAGCCATATTTGTCCCGTCATTTCTTGAAGAGGGGAGGCAAAAACAACAAAAGTGGCAGCTCAGTTCATCTGATTGTGTGTATGCAGGACGGCATCTTGACTGTGATGATTCAAGCTGCACTTTTTTGACTCCTGGCTTCTTTCCACAACTACAGGCAAGATTCATCTTCTCGTTTTACACTACTATCCTACCTTTAATCCCACAATTTACAGAACATGATTAAGCAAAAATACCATTCATAATAGTTGTGCTATATCTGCATTTCACATTCTCATCACTTAAGGGCACGTTAAGAGACCAAACTTAATTCATTACTATTTTAGGAAAGGTGTCAATTATTCTCCTGACTCCAATATAGTATACGTTAACTATATATTCAGATGGAGTATGAGAAAGCGAACAGATAACAGATGAAATCTAGAAATCCGGTGCCAATATTTAGTCCCTCAGGTCCCAAAACACAGCCTTTATTCAGGATTTTATTAAACAAGTGTCCGACTGTCAGCTGTTATATAATGATGTCAGAGTGCTCTTCATTTTCTCAAAACATCCTTAGTACGGTAAATATATCAATCCATAAATGGTTCCAATCTTCAAAAACGGTATGTATTGTGAATGTATTAAATTAAGAACCAAAGAAACCAATAACGTAGTTGATTTTTGACAGTAGATCATCTTCACTAATAATAGTATTGCTGATTTGAGCACATGACAAATAAGAATACCTTGTTTATGTGTGTTATGTGCAATGCAGGTGAATCTCCACAATAAATTCATGGAACTGAAAGATCAGCATGGAGCAACTTACAGCATGGAAACCTCTCTCATTTCAATAAACATCAATGGAATTGACGTCAGAGTGGAGCTTGGAGGACAGTTGAGCCATTATATTGATATCTTGGCTTGCTCGACCAAGAATCTAACAGAAACACTCCGATTAATCCATCATCTCATAATCCCTGCAATTCATGGCCTCTGTCAAGGAATTGTATTGATTGAAAACATCATTAGACCTGAATGTGTGAGAAGTTTGATTCCTCCGAGATACAGAAAGACTCAGTTAGTTGCACTACACAAACTGAAAGAAGCTCTACTAACTGTTTCAGCGGAGGGAATGTATGATTACCAGCATACATGGAGTGCAGTATCTGATACAAGAAAGCCCATCATAAGAGCAGGCTTTGATTTTGCAAGGGACCTCTTATCAGATGATGACTTTCTAGAGGTAATTCATAGAAGATATCATGATCTTTACAACCTAGCAAATGAACTTGATGTCCCTCCAGACGACGACCCTGATAGTGTAGCAGTCGTGACTTCAGAAAGTGTTGATCCATCATTCAGTGGGATAGCTAAGGGAGTAGAGCAAGTGTTACAGAGGCTGAAGATCATCGAACAGGAGATCAGAGATCTAAAGCAAGAGATACAAGGGCTGAGATACTACGAGCACAGGCTTTTGCTTGAACTACATCGGAAAGTTGACCATTTAGTCAACTACAATGCCCATATTGAAGAAAGGAAAGTGCCAAACATGTTCTTCTTTGTGAGAACAGAAAATTATTCCAGGAGACTTGTGACCACAATCATTTCAGGAATGACAGCAATGAGACTCCACATGTTGTGAGAGTTTAGGAGGGAGATGCACGTGGTAGAAGATCAAATGGGGTGTGAAGTAATGCAGATTGATAATGTTGCAGTCAAATGCTTGGCACCCTACATGACAAAGTTTATGACGTTGCTAACATTTGCCTTGAAGATAGGTACACATTTGGCTACTGGAATGGGATCTATGATTCCTAATTTAGGCAAAGAAGCTGCCCATCTGCTTGATTCTTCTCTTCTGACTGGAGCAGCTGGAGTAGCAGGGGCAGCAGCTATCGGGGCAATGGCAGTGGGGAACAGTAGAACAAGAGACAGATCACGAAATATTCAACAGGATCAGAGAGCAGCACAGCAGTGGGTTCTGGATTTCCTGAGGGACCGAGGGTGTTCAACTGGTAGAGATATCACAGAGAAGTTTGGACTGTGGAGAGTGAAATATAGAGATACAGGACAAGTTGCATGGATTTGTAGGAGGCACATGAGTTTAAGGGCCAATGAAATAGTTGAAGTGCCTCTTTAAAGTTACTACTCTTTATCTTTTGATGACATATAATCTTTTCTTTTACCAGTAGAAGCCACCAATATTCATAAACTGTATAATCCCTTCTGATATGAGTGCTTTCTGATGTTCATAATTAATGTATAATTGAATATGTCACCGAGACTTAATATACAAACGTCACTGAGACTTGGTAAGAGAAGACTAAGTACAGGAATGAAGCAATTAGTGGTCATTAAAAATTTGACAGTAATTCAGGGCAGAGGTAGCTTGTACCATACAGGTTCAAAGGTGAACCAGCAGGGTTACTGATAATGACCCAAATCTCTGTTTAAATCTCAGAAATAATCATCAAGTTGATTCAGATAATATTAGAATGAATCCATTTCATTTGACCTGCGACACAATAAGACTGTTAGTATTCGTCTGATACTGTTGAAATGGATATCAGACTGTTCTTTCTTCATAAATCCGAGAACAAAGTCGTCGCCCCATGAATAGTACAGTTGGCAGTCTTGACACCAATCAAACCATCATGGGACAGGAAGCTAACATCTAATCAACAAGGACTAATCCCGAGTTTGATCCTATTGTCCATACATTCTGTATTAATTCAGCAAAACTAACAGTGGGTAGTTACTATCAAGCTCTATTGTGGTTTAATCTGAACAGATTTCCCACTGCCTAAACAAGTATCCTAGTATAGTAACTTTTCAAACAAAATTTCACCAACCATATTTGATGGAGCCACCATCTAATCAAATGACTATTTCAAAGTCACATAATTCCTTTAATACTACTATACCAGTACAATATAACTTGTTACTTTTACTAAAACAATGCAAATTACTGGCAACTTTACAATGCTAGTATTAATCAAAGGTGAAGCTACACTTTGGAAACGGATCAATTGACCCCACTCGGCCTACCCAATTAAATTGATTTTTGAAAGTAAAAGTTACGGAGTGAAAATAATTTGACTTGTAGAATTTGAGTATACCATAGTTAAAAGCCTCTTCAAGTTACGTCTAACTCCGCTATGCACTGATTAATTAATTCTTTTTCTAAAGAAAGATGTACAAGAATATTTCACTCTACCCTACATTTGATCCTTTATAATCTTGAGGTTACATAACAACAGTCTAATACCCTCCTTAGGGTTCGGGAACACACAAAACACCGCCTATTAATCCATATAAAGAGGGAAAAAAAAAAAAAAAAAAAAAAAAAAAAAAAAAAAAAAACCCTTCAACATAGAATTAAAAATGCACTCTCAAAGATAAGTGTATCAGCCCTCGAAACCATGGATAGTTTATCTTTCAAAAAAAGTTAAATTCTTTCTATAATGCCTAGGTAACATAGAGGATAAGTAGTCCCTCACCCTTGAGCCCTGTGACTATCCTAAGGGAAATGCATAATCATTATTACAGCAACTTTTACCCCATTATACAATACAATAGTCTCTTTATTAATCAGTCCAATATGTAAGGCTGCTTTAAAGCTGCTGCTGTGATCATCAAAGCACAGATAATAAAAGTGGAAATAAGGGGCCAATCTTGTATATAACTAATATAAGTGGAGTGAACTTTTTGGAGAAGAAAAAAAGGCACAAATTACATCTTCCTGTTTCTCTCAATTAATCAGTCCAATACCCCTTATTTCCACTTTTATTATCTGTGCTTTGATGATCACAGCAGCAGCTTTAAAGCAGCCTTACATATTGGACTGATTAATAAAGAGACTATTGTATATAACTAATATAAGTGGAGTGAACTTTTTGGAGAAGAAAAAAAGGCACAAATTACATCTTCCTGTTTCTCTCAATTACTGTCTTTTTTTCCTTTCTTTAGGCTCTATTATTATGAATCTAGCACTAAAGAACTAGAACAATTATATGATACTATCCAAAATAATATTAATAATGAATCTTTTATACTTGTATACTCTCATGGACCACCTTACATGTATTTTGGGGGTTCATCAGCATACATAATAGCATACACGAAGTTTATAACATGCTTTGATTTGATACCATAATTACTGGAAAATCCCAAACTGGAAACCAAAAGAAAGAAAGAGCACTAAGGGGGTGTTTGGTATTTGGGAATTGAGGTGGGATCGGGAGTTTTAATCCCAATTCAAGAAAAAAGTTTTGTTTGTTTGATGGGAATGGGATTAAAAATAGGTTTGGGAATGGAATATTTAGGGGAGAATTCCCACCATTTTATTACCTAGGGAGGGTAGGTAATAAATGGATGGGAATGGGAATAAGTTTAAAATGACATTTTTGCCATTAATGAAAACTATGAAAGGAAGTATTAGTAAGGGTAAATTTGTAAAATTAGTATTTCCCTATATGTTCCAACTCACCATCCAAACAAGGTATTGGTATATTTTCATGAATTCCCAACAACTAATTCCCAATCCCAATCTCATTCCCACCTTTTAATCCCCAAACTCTCATTCCCACATTTCAAGCGCCCCGTAAGGTGATAAAGAACCGAATATTAAGTCGAGATTTGGAACACCATATCACCGTACTTCAAAACTAATCATGTTCGGATATTTCTTTTTGTTTGTTTGTTTTATTTATTTATTTATTTATTATTTATTTATTTATTTTATTTTATTTTTTCACTCATTACCTTGTAATTGAGTTTGTAGCTAATGTTGCTCAAACTCATTAGTCATGTCGTCCATAAGTACGAATCCAAGTATCAAAATCAGCTAGTTTATGATGATTTTCCTTACTGAGTCCAAAATGATGTATTGGGAGTCCCTAGTCATTCATGTTTGACACAAGTTGTTGAGGTGAAAAGGCGATCCATGACTCCATGTAACACAAATTGCACAAGGTATGCATTAGCACAGGTAGTAAACAAAGAATGAGATATGTAAACAGAACAAACTTGTTCATTTATCATGACAGGAAATTTAACAGAACAAAGTTTGCACCCAGTACAGCATTGCTCGATATCTCAATCTCCCATCAACATCTAAGAAATTCTTAACATACAAAGGTAAAACACTAAAAGCACAAATTACATCACAACAACATACATTAGTAATCACTAAATATTGGGTTTTGATTCTAAAATCTAAAAGTCACCTGTTTTAGCTTTCCACCTGTGACCATAAAAAGCTTAGAAGAAAGCCCTACTCCCGTAGAAGACCCGTGATCCAGCACTCTTCGGGGTTTCCAACTTCTGGTCTGAGCTAGAATCCCCTGATTTGGTTGGTTCAGGCTCGGCCAGATCCATTGGAAGCTTCATTTTGGCCAGGGACTCGGTGAACTGCTGCATGCTCTTCATGTACATATTCACGAATTCCTGTTGCACCATCTTCTCTTCAGGCTCGACATTCACAGTAACAAGTGGGGTTACAGTTGTATCTTTTGATGGTTTACTAACATTGGCAGAATTGCTCTCACCGTGTCCCTCAGCATTCTTGTTGTCTTTTAGAGGGGAAACATGCTCTTGGCTTGGAGACTTTGAAGTGACAGGAGCCTCAGAACATTGAGAGCTTGTAGGGAGACAAACAGATGGGGAACCATTGGTTGAAACACTGCTAGGAGGGGAATCAGCATTAAGAATTGGCTTAGAGTCCTCACTATTGGCCGAGAAGCTCTCCACGATACGAACACCAAGCTCGTGACTCTCATTGTCTGACGAAACCAAACTCTCAGTAGTCTGAGACTCCAAGCTCATCCCAAAGTACTCGGATACCATCATTTGATTTTCATTCACAATGTTTGGGTCAGGGAACTCAAACTTGTCAAACTCGCTGGGAACAGACTTGACAGCTTCTGAATCCTGCACCGCATTTTCAGCATCCATGGACAGTTTAGGGATTTCTATGACTTCAGGGGAAGCTCCAGAGTATGAGAGAGACAATTGAACAAACCCGGATGGAGAATGGAAGAGATCAGTTGATGAGAGAGTAAATTCTTTTTCTAAATTCCCATTCTTGACCAGGATTTCTGACAGTGGCACAAGAGCAAACCCGAGCAGCTGGTCTTCAAGGTAATTTCTGACACGGCTAAGCATCCAAATCTCACATTTTAAAGAGGACTCTGCCGTCCTAACATTCAGCTGGAGGCTTTGATTAAAGACCGGGTTTCTTCCACCACCATTGATGGTTTGTGTGGATACAGTAGTTTCAGGATCACTGGTCAGGCAAAGCTTAGCATAAACATCTTGCTTGTGGTATATACAAATGTTCTGAATGTCCCTTGCCTGATGTACGTACACATCAAGGGTACCGATGTAGTCTTCTGGATTATGAGCATTCCCATTCACCTCGTTCTTGTCTGTTCCGTTAGCTATGTGAGTGGAAGAGCCACGGGATAAGACTTCTGATCTCTGTTTCTCTGGCTCAGCACCACTAACAGTCAGATTCTTAAAAGGTGACACAACAGATTGTGGGGAGTCCATTATGCAACACAAGAACTACAAACCTGAAATATCATGGGATTACAAATTATGAAGCAATTTTGACAAAGGGAAAATTAGAGCGCGACACACTAGTTTATATCAATGAAGATAGTCATGATTAACCATAACAAGTCCAACAAAACACATTATTCACATCACAGCAAAATTAGCAACAACAAGAACCACAAAAACTGAATTTTTAACTTATGGAACCACTAATCAAAACTAAAATTAGAAACTTCTCTCAAAGCACCAAAGTTTTCTTATATAATAAATCCAGATCAAAGAAGCTTAATAGCACAATTATAAAGCCTCATCATTCACGTCGGTAATACACTCTTTAATCAACCAAATATGAAGGAGATAAATGCTATCAAAGCTCCAAGTATAAATTTTTAGCAAACACAATCACACAAATCCCAGAACAATAGGAATCAAGACACAGTGAACATTGCATCTTCAAAACCCCAGGATCCACATGCTACATTTAATAAACACAAATGAAAAAAAAACCCAGAAGCAATATTCCACTGATCTCAAAGAAGATACATTTAAATAAAATTAATTAAAATAAAAAATCTAACTTTTCACAAATTTAGAAAGAAGTGTATGAGGTATTCTTGTGCACATGCTCACCAAACCCAGATTCCAAAAACTCAATTATTATTATTATTATACTATAAAATCCCTTACTAAATTTCTTCAAATCAACCAAAATTCATGCACCACAAAACCTAAAATTAGCTGATTAAAGCGAATTTTTCAACAAGCAATCAATTGTACATGCATTCAATTACAGTAAACCCAATTGTACATGCATTCAATTACAGTAAACCCTAAACAGAAATTCCATCAAAGAAACCCAAAATTCAGATATACATAAACCCAAAACCCTAGATTATTAAAAGGAGGAAACTTACCTCAATAAGTTAAGCTCCAAATTACACCAGGTAGAATAAGTAAAACCCCAATTTTGAGCTTATAAAAAGAGTATAATAAAATATAATCAATCAAACATAACACAAAACCCCACAAAATTAACAGATACCAAGAAAAAGAGGCATAACAAACCCCACATAATCAGAAGCACTAGCACCACAATCGAAGTAAATTGAAACAGTCATACAAAAATAAATGATTAAAAAAAACCCAGAAAAAACCCAGATCAAAAAACTGCAAATTTAACCTTCATCTATTCAAATGAAAGCAATAAATTCAAGAAAAAAACATTCAAATAAGAACCCAGAAAAAAGACCTGATTTTAAGGATAATTTCTTTACTTTTTAGGCCCAAAAAATGGAATTTGAGAACAAAAGTCAAAGATGATGTTTATTAGGAGGCAAGCACTTAGCTCAAGAGATTAAATTTCAAAGATTTGTCGATTGCCCAATTCTCCTAATCGAGGAATTATTACCCAAAAAACTAAAAAAAGGAATTTCGAGAAAAAATTGAAGCTTGAAATTTGTGCAATAAAAAAAAAAAAAAAAAAAAAAGGAAGAAGAAAGACAGAGAAGAGTGGAGAAAAAGGGTAAGAATGAAATCTCTGTACTGAAAAATGCATAGAGTAGTTATTGTTTTTCTGTGAGAGTCAGGGTATTTTTGGACGTTTGTTTGGAATTTCTATGTATAGTTGGTGTATCAACAATTTTCAACATTTCCTTTTTATTTTTTGTCAAAAAGGTCCAACCTTTACTTTTCAAAGTATTGAAAAAAAATCAATTGCAAATTAATTTTGCATTATGCTTTTGAGTTTTGGCTAATTTTGGAACTTTAATTGACATTTCGCTTGATTACTTGATTTTTTGTTTAGTTTGGGACCTACTCGATCAGCCAATATTGAAGGTGTAATTCAAAATTTGCGAGTTAGATACTCGGTTAATTAATGGCTTATCAGTTATCATCTTTTAGCGTGGCGATTGATGATTCACATCTTGAATGTGTGTACGGTGAAAGATCCTCTCAAACTTCCTTTTTTTTTTGTCTAATTAAGATGATGTCTAGTATGAGATTCATGCATACTAGTCAATGATGTTAGATTAATTTTTCTTGTTTAAGCATGAATTTTTGTTTCTACTGAGTTAACTTTCTACGACAATTTGTGCAACATTTTTCTTTCAAGATAGCAACCTAATATTCGTAATTTGATAAATACATCACCTAGAGTTAATAGAGGTCATGTACGATGTACACAAGAATTTAGATTTGGATTTAGATCAGGCCCATATTATTAACATTTGTCATATATGCTTATTAAAGGATTTAATTCTAAATTCCGATCCATCTCTATACATAGAGATTTAGGTGAAAATAGAGCAACCCTAATACAATTTGCTATTAAAAAAAATGTCTACAACCATTTTGATAATTCTCATTTTAGAAATTAGTGATGCTAAAAATAAAAAGCTTACAAAATTGGTTCATGGACCACCATACTAACATCTTCAATCTTAAACGTAGAAATAACAAGTATAAACTTTATGGCTCCATGTCTAAGGTAACAAAATGTTATGGGTAGTTTTACTCCTTAAAAACACACATTGTTAAAATTTTCAACCAAAAATCAATGAAAATCTGAATAAACGATATTTTCTTCTATCAATTTTTTTATATAAATTTATAAAAAAAAATACACAAATGTAATAGTATGTTGTTAGGTTAATATTCTTTCAAGACTAAAAATTGTGTCGCCTGAATGTGTTAATTTAAAGTAGCCAAATTCTACACTAACCTTGCTAAATCTACTTTCAATAAATGTACAAGTATTCAGTATTGTTGGTACCTTAATTAGGTAAAGCTTTGACATCATTCTCACAAGTTTTACAAGCGGTTGAACACTTATGAGAAACATTTGACTAGAAGAGTTCAAACTTCAAAGTACAAGTGTTGAGGGTGTTATGTCATCTTCAATCCACACCATATATGGATAAAAACTATACAATTTCACTTCTCAATTTAGTTGCACACCACTATCCTCTAAGAAAATTATACTTAGCTTGCTCCATTTTTTATTTATTAGTAATACCATATAAATATTGATTTGAAATTTGTCAACACCTATCTTTAACCAAACTATATTAACTATGTGTAAAAATTTTGATATTATAAAAATATAGATTGAGATTCAATATATTTGACATATTAGATTTTTCTTACGTATATATAATAATGAAAAATTTAAGCATAGGATATTTATATTACAGGAAAAAAAAAATGGTACAACTAAGAAAAAGAAGAAAGTAAAACGTACTTTCTCAATTCCTAAAAGTTCAACTCGTTTTACATTTAGAGATTCTTTTAAAATCACATCTTTGACCATGAATTTCTTCAACTATGTATAATTAAATATTATAAAATGTTAAATTTTTAAAAAATTTATGTTAATCTAAACAAGATTCCACTTGTTAAATTTTGTAATTTTTTTCTTTATGGATCATGGGGTCAATATTATATATTTTGAACAGATGAATATAAGTGGATCGAACCTTTAAGAATGAAGTTGAGGTACTAAGGACGATTGGAGGTAGTATAAGTTATGTCATGGTTAGTATATTAGAAATAATAGAAGATTATACTAATGCTAGGATAAGATTTAGTTTCCTCTTAAATTATTGAAAAGAATCTGGATTATAAAATAGAGAAATCGACATAATCGTTAGGGAAGAAGACAGTAATGATAATGTAAATGAGAAAAGGGGAATAAAAAAATAAGGATGAAGTAAGAAAATGTAAATTAGGAATTAATATAAGTGTACGGTTTAGAAAAAGAGGGTCCAAATTTTGGACTTAAATGGGACAAACGGTGAACCGACCCATGAGGTGGTCATGGTTCGATATTGTTAGCTAATGAGTTTCATTTTTAGTGCTTTTTGTAGTTGTAGGCCATACACAAAGCCTTTGGGCTTGGGACCCACCTTTGCCAACCGCCAACCAAATTTGTGGTGACTTGTGAGTTGTGACTAGTCATGAACTAATTTGGATTAAATTTGGATAATTAAAAAGGTTTTGGGGCCGTTTTAGTATAAGTATTGAAAGCGGCATACTCTTTCCGTCTCATAATATTTGACACGTTCAACTTTGCACACATGTCAATACACTAGTTTGACTTTATTTTTATATGATTAAATAGTATTAAAAATTATTGTAAAAATTATATTAATACCTATCTAACAACATAATTTATGAAAAAATATATTTTTATTATATTAGTAAAAAAATATGGTCAAACTAATACATAAATAGTGAAAAAGACCAAAGTCCCAGATATTGTGGGACGGAGGAAATAGAAAGGAAACAAATAAAGGGCTCTCGTTCTTTTCATTTAATCATAGATGATATCTTAGTTTTGTGCTCTATTTTTTAGTAGTGTGATCCATTCCTTTTATCTTTAGTTTGTTACATCTTCATTTTTGCACAATTTGTAGCTAATACATGTATTTGAGTTTTACTATTTTTATGGGTGTTTTAATATCTTTAATTAACTATGTAATATAAAGAATAGAAATGTTGGTATTTTGAAATTACATACTTCATACATTAAGACGAATGTAAAAAAGATTGTAAAAAATTTAAACGCCAAAGCATCTAAATTAATATATACAATAGGGATTTATTGGAGGTACGTGATTTTTTATCGAGTCTAGGTTAAAGATTGTATTTTTAAAAATTATAATATCCTCATTATGTAGACTATTTACCAATCTTTTAGACTGAGATTCCACTATAGGCAATAGATTGAACACAAAGTGTTATTTGAAATGGAAAGTTTTCTCACTCAACTTAAAATGATGTTGATCCTTTTTAATAACTCCCTTTCTTTAGCAATATTCCCTAATAGTTAATATGAGTGTTTAAATGAAAATTGTATAATACACCAGGGTGCACCATGTTCATAGTGCACCTGGTGATGTGGCATAACTAATAGCATTAAATTCGTGGAAAATAAAAAAAAATAAAAAATTTTGGGCGAAATTATAGGGAATTATTCCCTTTAAACTACTTTCAGTTTTAAATTATTATCCTTAATGGACATTTTTCATTTTTAAAACATTTTAAAGACATTTTTGGGTTTCAATAATACAAAGTATGTTATTTGAATTTGGCTCGTATTCTCTTTGAGGTAACGAGTGACGTACAAATTCTTTTTTGAATTATCATATATCATTATTTTATATTATCGTATATTCTTTGAGTTTGATCAGTGTGTTCTTCATACATGAATTATATGTTCTTTACATTATATTTTATACTATTTTAACATATGTTATTTTAAATTTTGAAATTTAATTTGAAAATGAAATCTTGGTTTTTTCTTAGTTGAAAATACTTTAGAGAGAGAAAACTAAAATTATTATGGAATGTTAGTTTTTGGAGAGAGAAAAAACAATTTTTGGGAAATGATATATTTGGTAAAGATTTTTAAAAAATTACGTTAATGTCTTTTGGTAATGTCTTTATGTTCTTTAATAATGCATGTTCTTTGTTAAACACATACATGTTCTTTTTCAAAAACCTACATATTCTTTCTGCCTTTTTTTTATTTAACCAGGTGCACAAATCATGTATTGGTGTTTAAAGCCAAAAAAAACAAAAAAAAAAAAAAATGTGAACGAAAAAAGTATTAATAACCATATACCTCACATTTCAATATTTCCTAACCCATTTGTTGAAATTATATATTCCATTCAAGGTTGGGTTTGCAACTTGTGACCTATCACTCTAGGTCTACCATCCAAATGGATACTTTTATGTGTGAACTCTTAACAATAATTTTAAGAGCAAAGTCAAAGTCTTAGCTCATGCTCATATATCATAAACTCTATCTCTAAAATATTACAACCTTATGCTTTTTATAATAAAACAACCTAAATCTAATTAAAAAATCTAAATAAGAATTCTAATATGCAATCAACCAATTTAACGTTGGTTACTTGCTCCTGCAATAATTGACTTATGTAATCACACATAAGGCAATAATGTATAATCAAAGAAAATCAATTTCTTACTCACTTGACTTGTGTTGACCAGCTAGTAAATATTACACGGAGTATGATGTAAAATGATCAACTTTTTTTCTTAAGAAAAAGACCAACTTTAACTATTTACGTCTGGATATTAAAAGTTGGTAAAAAATGTTGTTATACAATTGACCTTTTTCATTTGTTTAAATTCAATGAGAAGTCATTTATCAAACATATATGTATAATCGCCTATTAATAAAAAAAATATTCACCGTAACAATCACAAAAAATCATCAGATGACAAAAAAAACAAAGATGCGCAAAAACCAATTGTCAAACAAAGCCGCCTCACCTTGTTTGGTCACATCCCAAAAATTAAAAATTAACCAATAATTGATCGTAATCACCATAATTATAGCTTTTGAGTTGCTTCATTTGAGTAAGGGCTACATATGGTCACTATCATTGATTATAACATAACTAAAGTCGCAATAACAATTAAGAAATGCACCTTGTAGATTTGTAAGGGAGGCACAAAAACATAAATAATAAAAACTAAAAAGGTCCAAAATCATCTAGAAAATTAATGAGTAGCACTTTTAAATAAACAATGTAATTACTACGTAATAAAATTCTTGGTACTTCGTATCAAATTAACAGTGAATGTCTCCCAA